CCAATCTTCTCAAAACTCTGGATTCTGATAGAGGGCCATGAGACTTAGACCTGAGTGCAAAAATGGAGGCTCTAGACCCTTCCAGAGCTGAGATATCGAAACTCAAAAATTCGACCCGAAAAAAAAAAACGACAGTGGTACCCCTTACGTTTTTTTTTTGGGCGAAAAATTAAGTTTCTCCAATCTTCTCAAAACTCTGGATTCTGATAGAGGGCCATGAGACTTAGACCTGAGTGCAAAAATGGAGGCTCTAGACCCTTCCAGAGCTGAGATATCGAAACTCAAAAATTCGACCCGAAAAAAAAAACGACAGTGGTACCCCTTACGTTTTTTTTTTTGGGCGAAAAATTAAGTTTCTCCAATCTTCTCAAAACTCTGGATTCTGATAGAGGGCCATGAGACTTAGACCTGAGTGCAAAAATGGAGGCTCTAGACCCTTCCAGAGCTGAGATATCGAAACTCAAAAATTCGACCCGAAAAAAAAACGACAGTGGTACCCCTTACGTTTTTTTTTTTGGGCGAAAAATTAAGTTTCTCCAATCTTCTCAAAACTCTGGATTCTGATAGAGGGCCATGAGACTTAGACCTGAGTGCAAAAATGGAGGCTCTAGACCCTTCCAGAGCTGAGATATCGAAACTCAAAAATTCGACCCGAAAAAAAAAACGACAGTGGTACCCCTTACGTTTTTTTTTTTTGGGCGAAAAATTAAGTTTCTCCAATCTTCTCAAAACTCTGGATTCTGATAGAGGGCCATGAGACTTAGACCTGAGTGCAAAAATGGAGGCTCTAGACCCTTCCAGAGCTGAGATATCGAAACTCAAAAATTCGACCCGAAAAAAAAAACGACAGTGGTACCCCTTACGTTTTTTTTTTTGGGCGAAAAATTAAGTTTCTCCAATCTTCTCAAAACTCTGGATTCTGATAGAGGGCCATGAGACTTAGACCTGAGTGCAAAAATGGAGGCTCTAGACCCTTCCAGAGCTGAGATATCGAAACTCAAAAATTCGACCCGAAAAAAAAACGACAGTGGTACCCCTTACGTTTTTTTTTTTTTGGGCGAAAAATTAAGTTTCTCCAATCTTCTCAAAACTCTGGATTCTGATAGAGGGCCATGAGACTTAGACCTGAGTGCAAAAATGGAGGCTCTAGACCCTTCCAGAGCTGAGATATCGAAACTCAAAAATTCGACCCGAAAAAAAAACGACAGTGGTACCCCTTACGTTTTTTTTTTTCGGGCGAAAAATTAAGTTTCTCCAATCTTCCCAAAACTCTGGATTCTGATAGAGGGCCATGAGACTTAGACCTGAGTGCAAAAATGGAGGCTCTAGACCCTTCCAGAGCTGAGATATCGAAACTCAAAAATTCGACCCGAAAAAAAAAACGACAGTGGTACCCCTTACGTTTTTTTTTTTGGGCGAAAAATTAAGTTTCTCCAATCTTCTCAAAACTCTGGATTCTGATAGAGGGCCATGAGACTTAGACCTGAGTGCAAAAATGGAGGCTCTAGACCCTTCCAGAGCTGAGATATCGAAACTCAAAAATTCGACCCGAAAAAAAAAACGACAGTGGTACCCCTTACGTTTTTTTTTTGGGCAAAAAATTAAGTTTCTCCAATCTTCCAAAACTCTGGATTCTGATAGAGGGCCATGAGACTTAGACCTGCGTGCAAAAATGGAGGCTCTAGACCCTTCCAGAGCTGAGATATCGAAACTCAAAAATTCGACCCGAAAAAAAAAACGACAGTGGTACCCCTTACGTTTTTTTTTTTTGGGCGAAAAATTAAGTTTCTCCAATCTTCTCAAAACTCTGGATTCTGATAGAGGGCCATGAGACTTAGACCTGAGTGCAAAAATGGAGGCTCTAGACCCTTCCAGAGCTGAGATATCGAAACTCAAAAATTCGACCCGAAAAAAAAAACGACAGTGGTACCCCTTACGTTTTTTTTTTTGGGCGAAAAATTAAGTTTCTCCAATCTTCCCAAAACTCTGGATTCTGATAGAGGGCCATGAGACTTAGACCTGAGTGCAAAAATGGAGGCTCTAGACCCTTCCAGAGCTGAGATATCGAAACTCAAAAATTCGACCGAAAAAAAAAAAACGACAGTGGTACCCCTTACGTTTTTTTTTTTGGGCGAAAAATTAAGTTTCTCCAATCTTCCCAAAACTCTGGATTCTGATAGAGGGCCATGAGACTTAGACCTGAGTGCAAAAATGGAGGCTCTAGACCCTTCCAGAGCTGAGATATCGAAACTCAAAAATTCGGCCCGAAAAAAAAACGACAGTGGTACCCCTTACGTTTTTTTTTTGGGCGAAAAATTAAGTTTCTCCAATCTTCCCAAAACTCTGGATTCTGATAGAGGGCCATGAGACTTAGACCTGAGTGCAAAAATGGAGGCTCTAGCCCCTTCCAGAGCTGAGATATCGAAACTCAAAATTCGACCCGAAAAAAAAAAAAAAAAACGACAGTGCTCATGTTTTTTTTTTCGGGCGAAAAATTAAGTTTCTCCAATCTTCCCAAAACTCTGGATTCTGATAGAGGGCAATGAGACTTAGACCTGAGTGCAAAAATGGAGGCTCTAGCCCATTCCAGAGCTGAGATATCGAAACTCAAAAATTCGACCTGAAAAAAAAAACGACAGTGGTACCCCTTACGTTTTTTTTTTTTTTTCGGGAGAAAATTTAAATTTCTCCAATCTTCTCAAAACTCTGGATTCTGATAGAGGGCCATGAGACTTAGACCTGAGTGCAAAAATGGAGGCTCTAGACCTTCCAGAGCTGAGATATCGAAACTCAAAATTTCGACCCGAAAAAAAAACCGACAGTGGTACCCCTTTGGTTTTTTTTTTTTTTGGAACGATAAAATTAAGTTTCTCCAATCTTCTTGAAACTCTGGATTCTGATAGAGGGCCATGAGACTTAGACCTGAGTGCAAAAATAGAGGCTCTAGACCCTTCCAGAGCTGAGATATTGAGATATTTATAATGGCATAAATGCTAAGTGGGATGTCAATATCTCAGCTCTGGAAGGGTCTAGAGCGTCCATTTTTGCACTCAGGTCTAAGTCTCATGGCCCGCTATCAGAATAGCGTCCGCCAACCCACGTCCATTTGCCTACGGCCCAAGAACGGAATGGACCTTTTTTCAACCTTGGACTAGCTAGAGTTACTGGAAATCGAAATACAGTGACTTGCTGGCAACCGTCCTGCCAGTACTGTAAAAATACAAGAAAACACAGGATGCACACAGGAAATGACTCTAACATGAATGCATTGATTGATTCCTAGGTTTATTTTGTTATGAATAAACAAATGTGCCATATAAAGGAAAAATTGTAATGTTATAATGTTCAAGTGTTTGTTCTAGAAAAAGAAAGATGCACACAGAAAATGACTCTAATATGACCAGATTGATTGATTCGAATATATTTAGTTTGTTACAAACAGAGTGTAATCTGTAAAACAAAAACCTCAAAATTATAGTTGAAATGGTATACTGCTGGATTTTTTTTGACCTTGAGAAAAAGCTTAAAGTATAGACACACAAATTTTATGTTTATTAATTTATTTCATGTTGGTACATTTTTGGGAAGTACACCTGTTTTGACCTGATGTCCATTGGAATGGACAAAAAAAATCACATTGAAAGCAATTATTTCAAAAAGATTTTTTCATTTGTTTTCATTTATAGAAACCTCATGAGCTGGGAAAATGTACTTTTATATTTTTCATAAACTTGAAACATAATTCAGGTCTGAGAGGGTTAATTAACCAAAGTGTGGAATGTTAGACACTTCAAGCAGCTTTAATTACCTAGTGGAGGGGGAGGGGCTATTAGACTAAGATGTTGAATGACAAAATTAGCTTATAAAATTCATATACTACACTGAGTAGTGTAAGTGCACAGAGTGTAGTGTGTCTTTTGGGACACAACTTGACTATCACATTATTTGCAGTGCTTCATGTAAGTGATTGGGGAAGATTTCTCAGAAGAATCATGGGTAATTCCACTGATGAACACAATTTGAAGTAAAGCATACTAATGGCAAAATCTCTTCACCAAAAGCATATATCACTGATTAACAACTCTGAAGCTCACAATAGCTGTCTTGAGCGATTAATAAATTAAAATTATGGAGGAAATGAATGTGATTAGGAGCCTACTTCTGAACTCCAGAACAAATACCATTGGCTCATGAGATTTCAATGTCAGCGTCCACATCCTAGTAGAGCTCGTATTACAACTTGTAAACTGGGAATTTTTTTTTTGGAGAGCTCCTACTTCACCTGACCGCTGAAGATTCATTTAGGAGCTGATAGTGTTGATAGAAATGCATAATTCCCAGCCCGAGCTCAGAGAAGAACATCACGTGTCGTCAACTCGAAATTAGGGTAAGCCCAGCTCCAAACCCGATGTCTCACACTGGTTTCTGCTGACATACAGGTATTCAGCTTTGCCACTTTAATATCGGACCACTGATTTCAGTGATCGACCAATCAGAATCGAGCCTTCTAAAAAGACGTGAAATGGTTTGATAAACATTCCTTACAGGGTTCTGTACCTGGGGGAGTCTTCCTCACACAGATGATATTTCTTGTTTCTTTCATTAAATGTGTATATTTAGACTTTCAACTTACCTTCTTTTAAGACAAGGCTACTGTATTGTGGTTGAAACTATGGTAACACAAAGACAGACCAGCAGACAGAGCTGAATCAGTTTGGGCTCATTCTGCCAGCCATTGCTTTTTCCCACACAGTCAAGTCAAGTGTGGGTTTGTCGTGTCTGATAAGATCTCAATGTCTTCCATCTTCACTTTTTCAAAGGAATGATCCAGCGAATACACATGACCACCACCTCCGCCAACACCCACACTCCATTGACTAGGTGTGCTGGAGTCAAAGAAGCCTGTGGAAAATTGTGAGTGTGTGTTCATGTCTGTCGGCGAAATAAGCCCACTCTGACAAAAGCACCCTGTTTATACAAATCACAAACACCAAAAAGGGTGCAGTTTGCAATTGGCACTGTAATTTTTATTAGTACGTGTATACTGCAACAATAAACTTGTACTGGTATACAGATAATTTTTTTAAACAAATTTGTTCACAACCTGAATCAAATATTGTTTTGTTGTTCAGAATAATGAAATAAGTTCTAACTAGAAAACCGGCAAGCACCATCAAAGAAAGGGACCAAAAAAATCCAAGAAACAACGTGAGTGTATCCTACAAATAGACACACCACAATTAGAAAATAGAATTTCAATTCAATTTTTTTTTTTTATATTAGTTTCCTTTCTTAAAAAAGCTAGTGCAAGTACAATATTTTACACAACTTACAGAGTATGCACGCATATGGAAATAAAATGAACCAAAAAAGCAAAAACAAATTGCCTTTCACAATTATTTCCTACCTAGGGCTTTATATATATATATTTTTACATATATTTTCCTTTATAAGTAAGGTGCAAAACACAACTTCCTTTCCCAACAACCATCGCTTGCTACTGGCCAGAATCCTCAAATTCAATTCCAAGAAAATAAAACCCCAGGATTGGATGTGACATTCAATTTTGCAACTTTAACAGTCTCGCTTTAACATTTCTGCATGGTGTCTACCATACTATAGGTCCAGTAAACCCACAGCGCTGAAACTATGGAGAAAAAAAACAACCTACTGTACCTCCACTGAGTCGATGTTTTTTGAACAGTAGGTAGAGGTCCAATCCGGAGGTTTTATGATCGTGGATCTTTCTGCCCAATGGCAAGTGTAAAAAGAAACTAGAAAAAGCCTCCATTTCCCTTCGAATGGAAGACTTCAAATCTCTTTATGACACGACCCGCAACACCTTTAGTCCAGCAAACATGGGGTATTACTGCTATATCTGAACCCACTCCTTCCTGAGGAATGACCAATGGCTTCCTTTTTCACAAAACACATCTTAACATTTCAATCTCAAAAAGAGAAAACAAACAGGGGGGAAAAAAAATTAAAGGTGGCTGGACATTAAATGATAACCGAACATTGTTCGGGTGTATAGTGTTATTTCACCTCCTGCTAATAATTGATCTGGCCTCAGCTTTCAAATCGTGGGGCGATTAATCGTGAGAAGCTACCTTCACCATTCATTCAGAATCTACACAAAACATTCTTGGAATTGGAAATGACTGACATGTTAAAATCAGGCCTAAAAAGAGTACAATTTTACAGACACATCTTATTAAGCATTCATTGGCAAGAAATCCAGAATTACAAAATGAACTTTTTTCTTGAAGATATGTATAGTTGTACAAATTCTGAAGGATAAATACACGTTACGAGGCTGTTGATTGCTATGCGTGAGGGTGACATTGTGTGTGTGTGTGTGTGTGAAAACAGGATCTGTACACGAGTCGGTTCCGGCCTGTGATGGTCAAAACGTCCCTGGCGTTTAGTTCTCAGTGGTTAACCACGGTTGAGTGTCCAGTTCAACCCAACAGTGACAAATACTCCTGAAGATTCAACATGAGTCTCATTCCTGCGCTCTGGTCAGATGAAGGGTAACAGAACACAGGATGTACCTCTCTCTGAGGAAGCGTTTGTCAGTTCAACAACGCGAGAGACGAGGGCCGGGCATGACTCCTTTTTTAAGGAGTGCGCACTGCATTAGCACTGATATAGCTGAATGATCATAATATCACTTATAGCATTAACAATAAGACTAGTAACAATACCCATAATCAAGCAGCCCATACATAAGAGTGAAACAAAACCTTAACGTGGGCTTGTAGAAGATTCTCAGCCTGAGGTTATTAATCCAGCTGTTTGGACAATTGACATGATGTCAAACAACAGTCAAGTTGAACAGAGAAATCCTGACTGATTTTACAACTCATTTCAAAGAAAAGCAAACTCAAAATAAAGTTGTTTTTCAATGAGAGCCACAATAAAAGAAACAACTTTTGATTTATTTTTCAAACTGCTGAAACTCGCAAATCCAACATTCATCTTTTTTTGTCATTTGTGCCAGAGTAATGAAAGCAAAAACAAGGAAAAGTCAGCGGTGCTCCTCTTATGAGAGACAGAGAAGGAGAGAGAGACACTCTTGAAAACATTCATTAAAAATCTTTCTCTTGTCTCCAACCATGATAAAAGAGTGCTACAGAGGAGACCGAAGCAAAAAAAAGTCCAAAGTACATGAAGTATAGAACATAAAAATAAAACGATGGTGTTCGAGCACACATCAGTACAACGAAAAGTAAAGTCATCTCAGGTTCATAGAGGACCATTCAAATGTTATTTCAACTCTTTGTCCTCGTCGTCTCAACCCGTTGGACCCAGGAACGGGCCGAGACGGAGGGAATTCGTATCGGAGGGGAGAAACTGCGATGACACCATAGTCTCACTCTATCTTCCTCAGGATTAGAAAGTGCTGAAACAGTATTATCAAGTCTATCTATTCTATAAATGACAAAAATGTGCATTTTGTTTTCGTTTGTTTCTATAAAAGTGGTCCCCACTTTGATGAGGTCGATGAATCATTTCTCAGTCTTTTTTTTTTTCAGTATCTTGCGTGTGTTAGGATCTGGGCTTGTGACGTCAAAAGGACAACAGGCAGACGGACAGACAGCTTGTGATGCGGACAAACACGGAGACGGACAGAGTGTTTTAGGAAGGCCTCATATGGTGTAGAGACATTGTGGGAAACCAAAGCACAGGGCCAATGAAATGACTGATTCTGGTTACAGCAGTTTACCACACACAAGAATATACATATATATATATATATATATATATATATATATATATATATATATATCTTAACATGTACAAAAATCTTTCCAAGGTCACACAACCTCCTCGACACACACACATTCACATCTCTTCCCCATCCCTGAGTAAGCCCAAGGAAAGATTTTGACCTTTATCAGAAAAGCAAACGATTTTATCATAATGTCAGACACAGCAAACTCCCCCCTCTGCCAAAGTAAATGAAATGTGCAACATTTCAACAAAGTGAAACACAATATTTGCCATGTTTACTCACAAAAATCGAAATAAAATAATAAAACCCACCGCCTAAAAATAATACAATTTGTGGGAGAAGGTGTATGGGTTACACTTTATTTTACAGTACGTGTACTTACAGTGTAGTTACCCAAAACAATTAAAGTAATATAAAGCAACTACATGGGTCAACATTAGGTTTAGAATAAGTACCTAGTTATAACCCAGTAATTGCTAATATAATAAGTACACAGTATGTACATGCGTAACAGGACTGTCAAATAAAGTGCTACTGGAGTATGAATGGAAACCACAGAAACGTTGCTACATGCAGATGGCACAAACTGTTACGCGTGAACATGTCAAACTTAAACAGAATAAGAGTTTAGAACATCATCAGTGGGGTTTGAGTTTCATGAGACATTGATGCTAAAACAAATAGGTGTCAAAACAGCATCCACCACTTTTAATGTGCTCTTATGCCTCTTGTCTCTCAGCACTGGAGGTCATAAGAGACTATCATTATCAGCACAATAAACCACCAGCTGTACCGTGTGCATCTTTTATTCTCTTTGTTTGTGATGACCATTAAATGTGATGGCACAGAACATCTGTGATGTTTCATTCATTCAGGACATCGCACGTCATATTCAATTCATTTGCAGTTGGACTTATTCCTCAATATTAAATAAACAACCAACATGGATGTTCAAATTCATGTAGAAAAGTCTTAAAGTTAGAAGTCCAAATCCAAACAAATGACATACCTGGAACTGAACACACACACTTGCTAACACTTGCTAAAGTTAACATGAATCACAATCGAACCTATTTTACTTCCTCAATGCTCATTCCAGGTCTTATTGTGAGCAATTCATCGGTGCATGGTACTTCAGAGAATTACCATTCAATGTCACTTAATGAATAATTAGCTATTTAGGTATTATTTTAGCAAACTCGTACTAAGTCTGACTGCATTCTAGTATAAAAAGGCAACTTTTCTCATTTAACTGTGGAATACATCAGATTATGGAAGCAAAATGGGTCGAAATGTTAATTCACATTGACTTCAAGAAGCATCGTAAGTGACATTACAAGTAAATTACAGTCATAATTGACCCCCTCCCCCCAAAATATTTCAACAAGCTAGGCAATATGAAACTCCATCACAAATACTGTCAAGGTTCTATGGCTATGAATGAAGAAGAGGAAAGAAAAGAGCGTTCTTCAACTACAGCGGGTGTGCCGGGTGAGAAAGAGGCCGCACGTACATGCCAGGCAACAGAAGGTAGCTAACGGTTGCGGTTGGGTAAACATACTCTGAGAGAGGTGTACTGGTTCTGTATGGGCACCTGAAGAGCATCTGGAGGTCACTATCGATTACGGGTTAAGACGGCTAGGAGGGGACAGACTCTGTCACTGCATATAAATTTACATTTCTCCCTGAAGTTACTGAGGGCTGGCTGTGCAAACGGCAAATAAACCTAAAGAGGATAAAAAACAGATTGCTGAGGTCGAACAGAAGATCTGGCATTGATGTCCGTTTCTCTGTTTTTTTTTTTGGTTCAGCACTAGAGACTAGGGGTTATTGCTACGTGCTGTTGTTCGGAATGCTTCTCGTATATACGTGGAACCGCACTGTGCAACCAGAAGGAGGCAGACTGTAAAATGATCGAAGCAGTAAGCGACATCGAAACACTGATCATTACATGAAGGGAAGGACAACAGTGATGAAGATAAGAAAAACCAAACAAATGCAAGACCGATTCGCCATTGACAGTCATGTTCTTGGGGTGGTTCAATAGACAAACAATATCTTATTTCTAGCTTTTGGCCCAAAATAAACACAATGAAAATATCAAGTTTGATTGGTTGAAGCAGATACATCCACACGCAATCTAAGTCAAACTAAAACACGCACAATACAAGGGGACAGAGACGCCATGTCAAATGGAAAAAAAGAAAAAAATGCACGATTGTGGTGTTGATCTGAGAAACCCTGTTTTATTATAAAAAAATAAAGCATTTTCAAATTGTATATGGGGTGCACTTCACCCACCCTCCACCACTCATTAAATCCATCCGTCCATCAATGCATCTTTTATTTTCAACTACAACCTGCCTTCCTGCCAGATCTTCACCAACCCAAGCTGGCCGCTCGAATGACTCGACAGGTTTGCAGGCTACAAGCTATGACATCATCCACCCCTACGGAGCGAACACCTTTGACAAAGCACCGTGCACAATCCTGCTTTCATGTGTTTGTGTGTAATTCGAACCCCCCTAAAAGAGGCGTCCTTGATTTCCTAATGAATAACCTGCAAACCAAGCAAATATGTCAAGAAACTGCTACATTTTTTAGTAAAAATTGGGTTTTCGGCCCTGTCCTGTGCTGGCAGAAAACAAAATAAATCATGTTACTATCTCTCCAGATGTGCAAATTGCAATATTCTTTTAAGTAGAACTTAAATATCTATCTATAATATGTGTGGTTTGTACGCACACACACACACACACACACACACACACTCACGCACATTCACACAAATATTATACAGATCACTGAAATTACTACATGACTGTTTTTTTTTTTTACATACGTTCGATGAGTCTTGGGGGACGGGACTAAAAACGTGCTCATGTAGTCTTACGCTCTCATACAGTAAGATAGATATAGCATTTGCAGCTCTATACATGTTAATGTACAAAAAAAATACATGACATATTTCAACATGATTGAAAATGACCGTAGCCGTGTACATGTGTATAAGCCTTGCATGTGCACGACCACATACATTGCTAACAAACAGGTATATGACACCCTTCGATCATCCAAAGATTTCTGTAGCCAGAGTTTCTCACTTTCACGTCAACTCTCACATCTCTTGTAAATATATAAACAGTCTCTATTTATTTCCATCTGCATTCACACTTTCATCGACTCTTTTTGCTTTAAATGACTTAAATGGCAGTTGTTTAAATGTGCCCGTCTTTACTCGAGCCGTCAACTTGCTTCAGATGGCTAAGCCAATCAGACGCAATGAAAAAAGTGCTTCCTTTAAAGCAGTCCTCTTGGGGACAAAATCTCATTGTTTGCTCTTTCATCAACTGTTACATTCATCCTTTCACGGCGACCCTTGTGAGCAAATCACCTTCTCACAGAGTGCCACACAACATCCAATTCATGATACAGCATACAGTACGGTGTTCATGTTAAAAGATCAACAGGAAATAGTAGTAGCAGTAATAATAATAATAGTAATAATTAATATAATAATCATTTGACTCAGTTGACTATCAGCCAGTGAGCATGACAGGTGTTAACTAAGTGCTTCAGGACAACACTAATCTCATCCTCAGACAACTTTCGCTCTCTTTCTTTCAAAATAATCTACTTTCTTTGAACAAAAAACAGGTGAGACGGCACTAAAAACAAGGGACTACTCACCACTGTGTTTGTATGCATCAAGAAAGAACCCATCCTGTGTCTAAGTAAAAAATTACCCCTGATTGCAAGGTTTACACATTCATCACAAAAAAAAAAACAAGAAAAATCTACCCATCAAGGTATGATGGGAGGGTTTGAAAAGTGAGACAGAAAACATGCAAAACTACAAAAATAGTTAAATAAAAGGTTAGACAGTTGGATATATAAAAATAGACTCGTCCATCTTCCCTGTTTAAAATTATAGTTTCGTCTTTCAATGGGGCAACTGTCCCCGCTCAATGACATCATCTCTCTTGGCCGGTACCATAGTATTTGGAAACCTCTTCTTGCGTTTCAATAATGTTAATATAATCTATGCTAGTCTAACTGCGCTGACGATGCTGTACTATATTGTTAGGATAGATTTGGATAGTCTCTTTTAGTCACAGTTAAACAAGATGGCTGACATCATGTAAACTCCCGCAACCAGTGAAGGAGTGATTTCCGTTCTGCCATCATTAGCTATTTTTATTCACACCAGTTGTTCATCTTCCCTTACTAACATTTTCAGGTTCACGTTTAAATTGCCACTAGGTGTAGTTGAACCAAGTTTGTCTTAGGACATCATAGGTGAGAGACTAGAGAGACTGTGACTGATTGTATATACCGAAGCCATCAGGATATCGTGCAGTGCTCATTACTTTCTCACCTTGTCCTACTTTAGCCCTGATTTTGACCAATCAAATGAATTGCACCAATTGTTTGTGTAATATTGAATGCATCTATTACAATGGTAAAAGTGATCATGTACACACTGAGTCAATTTAGCCTTTAAGTATAGTAATCTGGATAGAAAATCAAATCAGAACTAAAAAAAAACATTCTGAGGGCAAATTTTGCTTTTCAAATCTGACAGTCCAATACGTGTTCACTTGCCAATATTTGATCTGCCTTCGATACTGATTTTAACCTCCTGAGGGATGAAGGAAGGCTTGGGGAACGTTAAAGGGGGCTCTCCTTCAGGATTTTCTACTTTGCAGCCCTCAGGGGCCGACCACCTCCTTTTACGGCCTGTAGGTTTACCCCGGACTCGGATTCGGTGAGCGGTGGTGCTTTGCAGATGTCTCTTTCGCTAAACCTCAGTTCTCCATTCTCTCTATTGCCTTGACCTCTCTGATCTACACATTGCCCAAGTCCATTTTCCTGTTCTGTGTGCCGAACACCTCCACGTGTGCCGCTTGAGAGTGCTTTGGGTGATTTAAGGGGTGGACCAAGGGTAGGCGCATCCAAGACTTCCCCCTGGCTCTTCTTAATGGAGCCGTTCCTCAGGTTTTTCAGGGTGAGGGAGATGCAGACGTCGCCCACTGAAAGCTTGGTGCATGGCAACTCGAGCAGCTGGCTAGTCCGTTCTGGACAACAGGATGACCAGCCCTGGCCAAACACAAAGAAAGGATACTCTACTAGAACCTCCACACTGACCTACAAGAAAAAAAAAGGAGGCAAAAAGAGGAAATGAAATTCACACAGTAGAAGTCAAGCACAAATGCCTGATGATATGAATGAATGCCTTTGCTAAATAGCATCTGTTAATCAGCGCCTCTCAAACTGACAGACTTCAGAACTGCTTTTGAGTGGGTGGCCCCATCTCAACTCCCAGACAAACGAAGCAGATTTTTCATACAGCCTACTCACAGCACAACAGAAGGAAGCAGAAATAAGGAATGACTCAATTCTGTCAGTGAATCCCACACAAACTAAACAAAGATGCCATGGGGACAGCCAGGGGAGGGATTATGGAACAGGGAGATGATTTCAGCTGCCAATTTACCCCACATCTAGTTACACTGATTGAGTGCAGGTGGAGTTCATATAGGAGGACATTCACGCACTCAAAGCACATAAAAAATAAACTTAATGACTTAAATGATGATATGATTATTCAAACAGATGATAAAAATGCATGAAAGTATGTAATAAAAGAGAAGATCCCTGGGCATTTGTAAATGCCGTAAATATTTTTCCCAAGTGAGCACTGTTAAATATGAAATTAAATTAGCCATTTTTAGATGCCATCTGCATATTCTAAAAATGTCTTTAAGGGGCAAAATATATTGCCGAATATTTCCACTGAAATTCCACCTCCTAAGACAGCAGGATTCAAATGACTGGGGTTCAAATGTGAATGATAACATAAAAAATGCACTTTATATACCTAATAATAAACATTCCATAAAAAATAAACATAAACATACAGTATAAGTGGCTTCATGCTGCAAAAATAAACATACAGTATAAACATACCTATGAGCATTTGAAAAATCATTGCAATAGTACTTTAGCAAAAAACAACCTGTGCTATCTGTTCATAAGAGTGGGCAACAAAAGCAAAAATATATATTCTAGAAAACGTTTATTTTGATTACATTATATTACATAAGGGTTTAGCCAATAGTCAATTTCATTACATCATTTTTTTTACTACCATGTGCCGTACAATGATCCTATAAAACTGTATATCATTTGACAAATTTCTACTGTAATTTCTACTGAAATATCGCCCACCCTTATCCTTGTATATATGGGAAATTGATGCTCATCAAACATTTCTACAGCAACTGTAAAGCAAAAATATATTACCCCACCTGTGAGCGATGTTCTCCTACAGCAAACTGTATAATAGCGAAGTTAGGCGTATGACTGCTGTCGATACGTTCTACAGTGCTGGAGTCAATCTTCAGCTCATTGCTGATCTCAGCACTCTGAATGAAATCCTCCGTCTTGAGGTCCTCTACCCGCTTTAGTTCCCCATCTGCCAACTGGATGATGGAGCCCTTTGTGAAGTAAGGGGGCAGGGAAGGGGCTGAGGGTGGTGGTGGAGTCGTCAGCAGGCTGGCAGGGGCTGGAACCACAGGCAGATGCAGCTGGGCTTGAACCACGGCTGGGGCAGGGTGGGAATATAGAGCCGGAGTTTCAAAATTCTCCACTTTGGGGGCCGTTGAGGTGACGAAAGCATGGGGCAGTGCCGCAGACAAGTGCGTCGTGGTCGATGTAGCAGTAGCTTCGGTTCCACTTACTGGGATGATGACCGGCTGAGTTCCAGGGATGACCAGGTGCTGGGGTAGGCTGGTGTGGTAGCTGAGAGGTTGCTGGTGCCCTGTGCCGGCAATGTAACCAATGATGGGCTGCTGGGTGGAGTAGAAATTGGTGGAGGGGAGGCCCAGGGAGAGTGACTCTGTGGTGTTATGCGTGGTCTGCATAACTGCATGGGGAGACAGTGTGGTAACTGCTCCCTTCAGGTTGTCCATAGGTGGAGGGGGAGGAGGAAATGGAAGGGAGGCAGAGGAGGAAGAACTGCGGGACACGGGTCTGCCCGCACAAATCCCTCCTTTTTCAGTGTGGGATGTTGGGGGAGGCAGCTTGTCCAGTGAACATCCGGGATCAGCAACACTGGAGCTATGACTGTTTGGAACCAGCACTAACGAGGTCCGCATGGCTGTACTGTCCTGTGCATATTCGGCAGGTAGCACCACATGCCGAGCCTCATAGTGACGTGGGCTCTGCTGCTGGTGAATGTGGTGCTGATGGGAGGAGGAACCCCCTTTGGCAGTGCTGCCCTGCTTCCCTGCACTGGACTCGGGAGATGGACCAAAGCGTCTGTCCTTTTCCAGCTCTCCGTTCAGCACCACCCTGGGCCTTGTCTCCTCTCTCTTGGGTAAAAGTCCATCTGTGTACTGAACTAAGACCTGCGAAGGGCCACTGAGGGGGAGCGTGTGGTGAGGGTGTAAGTGTAGAGGCAACTGAGCATGGGGTGAGGGAGCAGTCCGAGGGGATACGCTTAGAGGCGAACCAGCAATGTGGACGTATTGGGTGGAGTGGGCTGAAGAGGTGTTGTCAGTTGTGACCAGGCCTGAACGACCCAAATGATGGTGATGGTCAATTTTGGATACTGGAGAAATGGAGGTGCTGGCATAAACCTCACGTTGTGTGGTAGTGGTGGCAGCCGAATGGGGAACTAGTGGAGAGATGTAGCCAGCATATGGTGCAGTATACGGAGAGCTGATGAAATGTAGATTGTGAGGCAGGGGCGTGTATTGGATGGTGCCAGTAGGCTGAGAGAGGGGTGACGTGTACACTGCAGGTATTGTGGTCACTGTAGATAGAGCTCTGGTTGAGTGCGTGGATGAGGAAGGTGCACTTTCAGCCATGGCTGACAATGGTTTGTATTGAGGCCCCTCAGGTTCTGCGGAGGTACTGATGTGCTGCCGCCCTCTGTCATGCCCGCTTGCCAGACTGGCAAGCCAGGCCAGGTTCCCTCCACGCTGGCTGTCACTTGCAGGCGCCATCACCATAGGCCTAACCTCTGAGGGCAGAGTGCTTGCTGGGATTTCACGCTTCTTTGGGGGCAGGCATTCATTGCTCCGCTCCTGGTTTGACTTCATGGTGTCTGAGAATCTTGTACCACGCTTCCCCCAGTCTTTTCTGGCTCTTTTCCGCTCCCTCTTGGACTCAGTTTGTCTTGCTAACAGAGTGTGCCCTCTCAGTGATTGGCTCGGAGCGAGGATGGGGATGGGATAGAGAGGAGAGTGGTGGTGAGAGGGGAAATGTCCTGTTCCTAAGGTTGGATGGACACAGATTTCAGTCTTAAGCAATGGAAGTCACACCTGCTGTGGGAGAGCGGTCCATGCAATTCATGTGGAATCATTTCCCTCTGAGAGCGATTCTCCAGGACTGCAGGAAGAACCTGAAAAATAACCAAGGCATCATTAAGGTTATTTCTATTTTAAGACAGGCCTTTTTAAAGGGTCATGAAACCCCAAACCAAATTTTCTGAGATTTTAACAGAAGTGTGTGTGTTGAACACCATTGAAGACAATGTTGGCATCTGTTAGATTTAATAGTTAGATTAAAATGGTTAAATTTGATTAGACCAGAAGAAGACCAGTCATTTTCAGTTTAAGTATGGCACGTTTGGCGTGCATGGTCATGTCTTGACTTTTTCCGGCAGTGCGGGGAACATGTGAAGATGGATGCTGAGCAGATGGACACTGGTCTGGTGGCCAGAAAAAAATCTACCTCTTTTATTATATGGCGATATTTTGCCTATAAGATAACTGACACTGAGCAGAGAGAGCAGGGCTGCCAAATCTCACTCAATCAGCGTGAATCATGCAATTGACACTTTTCGCACTCTCATGCCACACATCCATTTTCTAACAAATCATCAGCTCTCAAATTCTGTCACTTTTATTACGAAATTCAAACCATAGCTTTTTGGCGCTTTTTAAATGTGATGTGACAGATCGTGGTCGTGAACCAACATCTCTTACTCTTTAATAGTAAATAAACACGAATGAACAATACAGTAGGTGTGTTGAAAGATACAGTACAACTTACCGAAATGTTTATTTATCACAAATTGACTGAATTGTGAAAAGTGGGTATTTATATAGCCTAATTGAGATAGACGTAACTGACAAATGACTTGCTTTCAGTATTAAAGGACTGGATTAACCAACAGCCCACATGGCTTAGGTGACATCAAACAAAAGAAAACATTTCAGAGACGAAGCAAGTCAAGATTACAAACACACAAATGTTTTTTTCCTTGGAATAACATGCACAAATGAATTAATGAATGCATACATGGAAAGTTTCTAATTAGATGGATTTGATGTTAACTACTGTAGAAGAGCTTTCCATCAAAGTAGGAAGCAAGTCCCCTTTTCTTCTCCTTCCCACTCCAGAGAGTATGGGGATACACGTGACGAAACAGTGATGTTGAGCAGTGTTATGGCTTGTTTGACATTTCTCCCTGAGCTCTGCTGATTGGACCCATTCAGCTGCGTCTGTTGTCCAGAACTGGTGGGAGGGTGGTTTTGCATGATAAACAGGCCCTGACGATTTAACAAGTGTCGCAGAGCTATAAAAGAGCAGGCGGATTCTGCTGTGAGGGAAACCTACCCTTTAAGCCAGTCTGTATGGCAACACTTACACAAAAGTAACTAAATGTCTCATAGTATTATTGATGTTTTGGTTATGTACATTGTTAGCATCATGGTTTACTAGACATGGCACCAAGCTAATACTGTACTATGGTAGCAGCAGTATAGTATTCTTGGGTGTATCTTGCAGTAACAGGTATCAGATGGTAGTACCATATGCATGTACCAAGGTAATACTATATGATGCACTGTACCGCAGTGTTGCACAATACTATGCTTGTTTGGACATGGTATCTATGAAGTATGTAGCATGAAGAACCAGATAAATGCCATAGTTTCTGAATATGGTAATCGTTTAGAACCATGATGTAATTTAAATTACCATGGTATTACCATCCGATACCATCACTATATCACTAAAGTGTGCCTGTGTCACATTTATGTTTAGGTTCATAAAGTTCATGCCATCACTTAAAGCAGACACAACAGCCCTCAGCTGATTACAAACAGCAGGAGCATGTCCTCTCTCTGCTCAAAGTAGTGTAGAAAGGTTACACAACAGCTGAACAACATTGATTGACACTATTGACATTGAGCAGGGTGTTTATTCTCAGCACTCTCTCAATCAGTGTGTTCTACCTCTTTTTTTCTACATTTCACCCACATCAGTTCCACTCTCATTCCTTCCCTTTGGCTCATATACTGTATCTTTTCATCTCTCTTTGCACCACCCCCAACCTCTCTTGTAAGTCTTTTTTCCTTTACCATAATTTGTATCAGGCAAGGGCAATCAAGCATGTTAATAACCCAATTATCATAATCATTTTAATTAATGATTTAAGTAATCATGCATGGTAGATGACAATATTATCCAGATGGTATTATAACTTACTCCAAAGGCAATTCTAGGTTTAAACTGGTCTCTGCCAGGTCCTTGAACGCTTGCGGTGAACTAAAATCTTTATGATGAGATTATATTTGAAAACTGATTAAAATGGTAATCAGTGATTCATTGTTCCCAGTTAGATGTACGATACATCTCGGTTTAGTCTCTGCAAGAGGATATGATATGATGCATGCTTGCCATGAATTAAAGCACAACCAAAGACACTCTTCCAAATCTGAATTTGCGTACTTATCAGCCACATTTTAAGCAAAAATTAAAATCAATAAGGTATGAAAACTGGGGGGAAAAGAGAACTATGATTTGGACGGCTCTTTTCGTGTATAACTGCAATAGGTACCAATTCTTGTTTGTTTATTTATGGTTTAAACATCTCAGTACATTTTTGTGGTTGTTGTTAGCATGTCATAGGTCAAAGAACATGCGGGTAAAAGGACCAGGACAATGCAACCATGGCACGTGTGAAATGTACACTTCCAAGAATGTACTGATGACTAAGTAAGTACCAAGCATGACTGGTACTATGGAAGTCAATGGGGTCAGGTTACCGACATTCTTCAAAATGTCTTATTTTGTGCTCAGCAGAACAAAGAAACTCACACAGGTTTGGAACAAGTTGAGTGTGAGTAAATGATGATGACTTTTCAAAAATGAATTTTCATTTTTTGGGGGGTGAACTATTCCTTTTAATAAATAGTTAGATGTTTTTATAAAAATTGCATTAATAAAAATGGCAAACATGCACAGCAAAATTACTAAAACTTTAACTAAAATTTAAATTAATACAGAGGTTGGAGCCATAGCCTTGTGAGTATCCTCTGAGTCCTACACTGTAAAAAACAATGAGTAAAATTTACTTAATTTTTTCAAGGCAAGTTTTTTGCACTGATATTTTTTGAGTAAATTTCACAAATATAATTAAGTAAACTATACTTAACTAAGTTAAGTGAAAGATACATAAGAAATTAAGTAATTTTTGTTTAGCTAATTAAAGGTTAAGTAATATCTATTCTATTTAATTATTTTTTTCTTTGTACAACATTTCACACAAACACTATAACATTGAATTTGACTATACTCTTTAAGTAGTATATGATTTACTCAGAAATATTTAAGTAATCAATACTTGCAGTGTGTCTCATCACTTTTTGATATTTGAATGTGTGAACACAGACCTCAATACTTGGTAGACAATACACAATGACGGTAACATTTGATAGATCGTTTTTGTGTTTGAATGTGTCATTTTATGTAGTAAATGAACTACAAAATGGCAAATTACTAATATCCTAACAACAAAAGTAATGATAAAATAGTGTAAATACATATGGAAAACAGTAAATAAACCTCATTAATTATTCATGGCCCAGGGCATGATGGTTACCCCAGTATCAGAAAAGTTGAGTAATTTTACTTAATTTTAATTATAATGTTAATATTTAAGCTTCCATTTCTACACGATTGAATTGAGTTCTACTATGAATTTACTTTTTTTAAATACTTGCCTGAACTAACTGTTTTTTTCTGTAGTATTTACTTCACCACAAAATCATTTTTATCAGTGTATAGCTCAACCTCAGGTCGATAATTTCTCACTAAAAAAACTGTGATAAAACAAAAATAAAACAAAAAAAATACAACAAAATATGAGCTCAAATAGTGTAGAAATCACAGAGCTTTTCGAAGAAATCTCAAATTCTTTCTAAAAAAAAATCTTCCCGGGGACTGGAAAAAAGTTTCAGAGGGGGAAAAAACATAAAACTCAGTCTGTCAAACTGACAGATAATATTATATGCATCAACCTCTATGGACAACTGTGACGATGGCTGCATGTTTTATGTCACGTAGTATGTACTAAATAGGGATGTGTAGTACATACTACGAAAGCATGCAGCCACTAGGAGAATAGAAAGAAGGCCACAGTATGAGAGAGAGAGAGAGTGAAAGCGTAGTATATTCTCAACTCAACTGACTGCAGCTTACACAATTCTTTAATGAATGTCTGATACTGCAGGGAGCCAGTTAGGATTAATGACACTGATGCCAATGGCTGGTATTTTGTGTATACACACACACACACACACACACACGCCTCAGTGTGTCGCTGTGGTATCCCGGGGAAAGCCAAGTCCTAATCTTTCACAGTTGGGTCCTCTCAGCTCTGGCTGCTTATCCCTCAGGATTAAACCCAACACACACACACACACACACACACAGAGAGAGAGCTGGGAGGGAGCGAGCAATCTACTGACCTACATTAGCGAGAACACTATGCTACACCTACACACACACACACTCACACACTTGAAAAATAGCAAGCACATAGCAACAGAAGACCAGCACAGAGGCTCATTCAAATACTCATTAACACACACATAACACACACACACCTCCACTGCTTACTAACTGTAAACTAAGAGCGTAGTGAGAGAGAGTGAGAGAGAGAGAGAGAGAGACTGCAGTGTAAAAGCCTTGTCAGCTGGATCTTGCTGAGCACACTAGGAACAGTATCAGATGACCTGAAACCTAAACTTATTGTCCTCCATCAGCCCTGGCAACACTATGAATCACGTCCCCGGGGCCTCAGAGCCACCGAGAACCGCGGGGACAAATCAGAGACATTAATCAAAGACATTCACTGTGAATCCAACACAGACATGAATGAGAAGAAGCATGGGCTCTCAGAATGCATTTCTCTCCATAAAAACCCACTCGCACCGCAATAATGCAGCACAACATGTCATCCACTGAGATCTGTGTGCTGCATTAGCGGGTCAATGGGAGATGACCGTGAGGATGACCAGGTTTGAGTCAATATAACCTCAGCATTATTGACAAGAATGCAACTCTGTGCACACAACCAAACGCATTGATTTAAAATGCAAAAACTGGGAA